ATAAACCCGTAGATGATAAATCAAACAACAACAAACATATGAAACATATGTGTGAACTGCGGTTATGAGACGTATATGAGAACGATCCTTCGCAGTAAAGCACTATTTGAGCAATAGTGAAAATCAGACCTGAAATTTTTTTCAGGTCTGATTTTCACTATTGCTCAAATAGTGCTTTACTGCGAAGGATCGTTCCCATATACGTAAAGTCTATTTCCGTTCTTATTATAAATTAGGGAGTTGCGAAGCATCGAGAAATTACGAATGATAACTTTCATAATTCAAGCAAAGCTAGAGGAGAAGAAATGGGTTCAAATCAAGTTTACAGTTCTGTACTCATGAATATCGCTTTCGAGCAACGCACGTAAAGATAAACATTTCAAGATAAACGAAAATCATAAAAAATTCGCGCCTTACCATCTCATCGACTGCCTCTTTGATTTTTCGAGCACTCTGTTTCCCTTGTATATACTTGTAAACGCCATAACCCACTATTACGGACGCTCCAACAGCAGCTACGCCAAACATTGTTCTCCCTTCGATCATAACAAAATTCAGCATTAAATTCTAATTTATGAATTCAGTCAATCAATCGATGATGACCTCGATGGCTGTTAAAAATAGGGTAATATCAGTCAGGCTTTCCAATGTCGAACCAGGCCCTTTGTTTGGGAGATACCGTTTCATTTTGAATGGGAGGGGACATTAGGTGATTTTTGACCCTAACCGAAAATTTTCTTGATTTGGGGGTAAAAATCGCTGGATTTTCTTTTTTGATCCCAGCATTTTTTCCGATGCCAAGGTAACCAGGAAATTTTGGGGGGGTTCCGTTCTCAATTTCCTGTCATGTGAGCTAGGCCTTACATCCAAAAATGTTCAAAATCTATGTTTGACCTCACGATAACAAATTGCGATAAAATACTTCTAAACCATTAAGATACATTTTTTAAAGAGGCTAAAAAAAGCTTGTCGACGACGTTTCGACGCTGACGTAACGCCATTATCCTGTAATCAAAGTTTAATGTCTTTTACGTGGGACATGGTTATGCATATGCCCGAGCCAGAGGCTCATGTGAAATGCAAGACAACAACCCACCCATCCCACCACTGGGAAGAACATCCATCATACAGTAATCTTGTGCGTGGGTAATTAACGTCTCCTACCCTTAACCTGCATGAGACGGGACCTCCATTTATTCGTCCCTATCCGAGAAGACTAGAATATCTAAACCATTTCTTGATGTTATAAAAAGGCAGCATATTCTTCTCAATTATTTTAAGACCTTGAGTGTTGGTCCGGCCGGGGCTCGAACCCTCGACCTCCCGCACATCAGTCCAGCGCTAACCGGGAGGCGGTAGCTTACCGGGAGGCTATCGAGTGAAAAAGATTTTGAAGTCGTATTAAAAGGAGAAGAATTTTGGAGAGCGCGAAAAAGTCTAGTCAGAATGTGTAAACTAAGTAGTTGTTAGATTGGAAAACTGTGATACAGAAATCCTCTCACATTTAAAATAGGCGTAAAAGAAAGGCTTGAGGTGACTGTTTTGTAGCACTGTAATTATGCAATATGATAATTCGTTTTAATATTTAAAGCATAGAAAAGCAATTTCTGGCACCCAAACCAGTCCTTTTTGTTTCTTTAACTGATCGCTTTACTGTATCATTTTCAAAATTTTTGAAATGCCCATTTTGAATGAAAACAGAACAGCTTTACGGGCCCGTTAATTTACCTGGGGTCCATTTCTCCAAAGTCCCGGTAACTTAACGGGCCCGTAAAGCTGTTCTGTTTTCATTCAAGATGGGGATTTCAAAAGTTTTGAAATGATGTAATAAAACTATCAGCTAAAGAAACAAAAAGGGCTGGTTTGGGTGCCAGAACCTGCTTTCCTATCCTTTAAATTTTGATTTTAAAACCGTAGTTACGGGCCCGTAAAGTTACCTGGACTTTCGAGAAACGGGCCCCTGGACTTTCGAGAAACGGGCCCCTGGTCACTTGGTGCGCGCACATCTGAGCTTCTTAAAATATTCAGTTTAGGTCAGTTCTTTTGTTTCTTAAAGCAAGGAATAGAACTCTAATTTCCTAAAGAAATGAAAATTTAGATTTTATCTCGTCCAAACGAATATTAAAGCTTTCACAGTGTTGTTCTTGTACTGGTAATAAAAGAGGCAATAACCGAAAAACCTCATTTGAGTTTTGTTTTATCCTGTCCATGACTTCGCCTTTTTTCTGACCGTGTAATTGCATGAATAGAATTGTCTTTACAATAGCCATATGAAAGAAAAATCTTTCAAGAGCCTCGCGTTATATGTCTTCAGCCAGAGATAAAAATATCATGTTGGCGAATATAACAATACATTTTTAGAAGGACTGTGTAGATTTCACCTAGTAGAACCTTGATACTAGACAACTATTTCCCAAAGGAGATCAATATATAAAAATAAATATTTAATCAAACAAATGTCAAATGTGCTCGTTACTAGGAAATTAGCCGACAATCTATGGCTGAGTACGAAGAATCACTCGGATACTTTCAAAAGGATATTAGAAATCTATAAGATGGAGCTTGAATGAAATCTAACAGAATGTACCAAAAATATACTAAATATTTGCAACGAAGTTAGGCGGTAGATGAATCTATTTTAGTGAATTTCAGTGTGGGAGATTTATCAATGAAACCGCGTTAGAAAAGCTTTGTAACCTTGAAAGCGAATGTATTCAGACTTTCAACACGGTAAATATTTGCTAATGCGATGGACAACTGGACAGAAGATGTCTTCTAAATGATCCTGATAATTAATCGTTTTCCTTCTCATATAACGAGAAACTATACCCTATTGTGCATGTGAAAAAAAGAACTTTAGAATTGACCCGGAAATTTCACACTAACACTTTTGAATCATCGAACGATTTCAGTCAAGCATTTTGTCTAATTTTGATGAAACAGTTTAAAGTAGTTTTCTTAACAAGACTTGTTTTAGTCTCAACTGACCATATTTCATACATTTTCAAGGACGGTAAATAAATATTATCTTTAAGACAAATTGCGCTTTCGTTAGAAAAGCATAAAGATGCCAAGCTAAGCGCTAAAAATTAAAACTCGTCAGATTGTATTAAGAAAAGTCGAGGAAAGAGGACCATAACACGGAGAAAAAACTAACTTTATTACATAGTGAATAATTGGAGGTATGGAATTCTTACAAATGCTCCATCACTTTTGTCGAAATCTTCGTTTTCATGAATGCCTCAAATTTTTTTATGCTTAATTTCCAATCTGCTTTTTTTTTTCATTTTCCTTTTTGTTATCTCATACATTGTTAACTCCAACGACTCGCTCTGAAATTTTATAACAGTTGCTTCAAAACATGCCTCCGAGGGCCGGTGCTAATGGGAGTTCACGTGTTTTCTGAGAAAAGTCTTTTTATGAAACGTGGCTTGACTGTTGTCTTTTTCAACCATTCCGAACGTGATTTTTCAAACAGATCATTCGTCAACTGGGAAGTTCGGAAACCTATTTTAGATTCCTTGAGAGTATGAATTTGATTACCGCTGACTACGACTCTTTTCTTGTTAAAATGGAATACCTACCTCAAGACTTTTCCTGGCTATCGCAATACGAATTCGAAGGTCTTAATGGGGTTAGCCGTAAAATGGAAAAAAAAAAAAGCAGGCGTTGTTTTAAAAGAGTTTACCGGATAAAGTTTTCTTTTAATGGCAACGGAAAGAAATTAACCATTAGCCGTAAAATGACCAAAATTTTAACCGTGAGCTGTAAGAACCATCACCCAGTTGGGAACCTCGAATTTGCCTCTGCACCACATCAATTTTAATTCACATGTTCGGCTATGCTTATCATACTTTTAACGGTGTCCCAAAATTTTGATAATCTAAATGACGCTCTGGAAAAAGGGAAAGATCCTATGTCAAAAAAGGGATCAATTGAACAAGCATTTCATCTCCTTTTTGGTTGACAGCAACCATTTTCATCATGTAAAAATTACCTTCTATGCTTTAAAAGTTCGTCGTCCTGCGAACCTTTTGAGACTGAGTCTCTACAGTGTTAATGATTAATTACTAAGTGGCAATTTTTCTATTAAACATACCATTGATCTCATCTAATCTTATGAACGTCCATTCTTTCGCGTCCATACAAGTACAATCTGTTCTTTTGTCTTTGTAGATGGGGGTTATTCGTTTTGCGGCCGTTCTCCTTTTCGTTGTTTCACTGTCCTATATCCATTCTGTGGTCTCAGTCATCTTTTTGGGACCCAGGAGAGACAATTTTCTTTTGAATAAACGGTTCTTCCCTCAAGCAGAAGAAAAACATCCCAGAAAACGAGCTCCTATGTTTGATCCACAAGCCGAAAAGCCTCAGCCAGGTGAAGCAGTGAAAACTAAGAGATTGGCCTCTCAAGCAGACGCAGAAAAATCCGAAAATGGCGCCCCTTTGGGAAACCTATTTGATCCACAGGCCGAGAGGCCCAAGAAGAACAAGAAGAGCCCAAGCAGGTCAAAGAGATTGGCTGCTCGATCAGAACATTATGACAAAATGCCCCCTCCGGCCGAAAACATGTTTGATTCACAAGTCCAACAAGACCAAGACGCTTGTAGGTGGCGGTGTCAGGAGTGGTGTCGACAGCGATGCCAATCGTCTGCCTACGAAGAATGCCTCGATGGCTGCCTTAACGTCCGTGGCCACCGGTGGAGGAGTTGTATAAATAAATGCAAGAGGGGAGACATGGACCGGCCTGGAGGAGACAATGAGGAAGAAGAAGAAGAAGAAGAAGAAGAAGAAGAAGAAGAAGAAGAAGAAGAAGAAGAAGAAGAAGAAGAGGAAGAGGAGGAATGAAAACATACGGAAATCGGTTACCAAGGAAAACAATAAATACGGAACAGGAGACTGAAAAATCTGAATTAAATCTATCGTTCATGGGTCGTGCAACGTGAGACGAGAAAAAAAATTTATGAGGTCATAATATTACACCAATAAAATCTAGTTTCAATGTTCATCTTTGAGGTCTCATTTTCTGTTAAAACACAGTTTGTTTCCAGTTTCTTTAATTTTCTGTTTGGTATAAAACTGTGCAATTCAAGTGGCGCCAATGTAATGGAACTTGTTTAGAGCACTCTTTTATGTAATTTCATGCTACACTTCATGATCATTATCTGGTATAAGTTTGAGCAATATTTAGGTTTTTAATTTTGGAGAACAGATGCTGAGTACTTTTCCCGCCCAAATTACTGCGCCATCTTGGATTCTCAAGCAAATGAATGAAATGACGGGGATAAACAAAAGTTCCATCAAGGTGGGGGGGGGGGTGGCTGAGCATGCTTTGCAAGCTAGCAATATTCTATCATTGAATGCTAGCAGTCTTTGTTTTCGTCAAGATACACTTGTGATCTTGATCAGAGATGGAGCAAATATGCCACTTAATAGGAGCCCTGTGACTGTGCAAAACTTTCTCTTTATTAACTTTCTCTTTATTAGCCCCATCAAAACTGTTAAATATTCTTCCCATCTCTTCCTCAATAACGAGTCGGATTAAGTTGAAAAAATTGTTTTGGTTTCGTTTGCTATTGTCTAAGAACAGTTTCAGAGCGCTTGCTCGTACAACAGATCAGTTAACTGCTCTATTAATGCCTTCTGAAAATGCTGGTAACTTCATCCATGTAATTACACCCAGTGGTCTCAAGAGAATTTTTTATACGAAAGCGTGACGGCGCACATAGCAATACTGAAAGGTATTATGGGAGATGGTTCGTTACTGATACATGGTCGAAGTTCAGGATTATGAAGTAGTTTGAATACTTTGTACCCCTGCAATTTAAATTCTTTAAATTGTGTTCAAATTAGATTTGAATCATGTAAAGCTCGAATGCACTATCAAATAAGTGGCACCATGAGAACGCCATCCAGTCCATTTTTGACCTGACCTCTTCTTTGTTTTCCCGAGTAAAAGCGTCCGTTTACAAGCGGTGTTACCTTGTTTTATTTTCCACATACAGTTTGGAAGTCGTCACGCATTGAAATTGTTGTTTCACAATCCAAATCTATGGGCTTCGGATTTTTGGCTTCAGTCGTCCCAGTAACCAGATATCAACTCACTCGATATAGATTCTTTAAGAAACGTCCTAAAATCCCTTGCCCATAGAGAGGTGGTGAGAAACAGTTCTATGCGCTGTCTGCGTACCAGCTGTTTTAGCAGGCGTTAAAAAAGAGGTGGGCTGCTCTCCCGTCGGCATTTAGCAGGTTGAAAGACATCACATTGTCACATCGGTTGAGATAGCACAATTTAAAATTCAATTCTTGTTTTGAACTGAACATCAACGAAGAACGACTTTTGTGGGTGAAGAAATTCCTTTACCTTACGGAGAGTAAGTTTCAAACACAAGCTCTGATTTTGTCATTTTTATGTGTGTTCACAACCTATATGCAAGCTAAAAGATTCCCTTTTAGAAACTGTGGAGGCGATGTAATAGTTTTTAGAGAGTTTACTCGATTTTTTTAATTTAAACAAAAAAATGGAAATTGCTACGAAATGTCAAAATTTCAATTAGTTAAGGTTTCTACCAGTGGATAGCCCTAGAATGGAAAGCTTATGATGATAATTGTTGCTGAACTATGAAGGAAAGCGGCCATAAGGAGTATTGTGTTCACTTGCAGGAAATTACGGTTCGGGGCATCATACAGCATTAAAACAGCCATCCACCTTACTTAACAATTCGTAATGACATGCACTGCAAAGTCATAGTGACGTTCGATTGAGATAAATCTATGGTCTAATCTGAGTAAGATTATGTAAGATCAAGGTGAGATCAAACGGTCCAAGGAGGACAATTAAACGTTTGTATGGGTTGATGAAAATTCCATTAACAATAATAATAATAATAATATTAATAACAATTAAGACTTTATTAAAGTGCCAAACCATGTAGTTTGGGAGAAAGCCACACCTATAAGGGGATACAGACTAATACAAAATACCAAACTTAGACGACTTAATATCTACACCAAAATAGGAATGATAAATAGAGGATATTACATGGCCGCTTGGGGAAACGAATTTTATCTTCGAGTGCTGAAAGTATCTCTCAACTCGTTCGCTGCGCTCACTCGTGAGAGATACTTTCAGCACCCGAAGATAAAATTCGTATCCCCAAGCGGCCATGTAATGTTCTGTTTATTATATAGATACTGATGAAATTTCCACATAAAAGACAACTTTTTTATTCATTTTCGAAACAGCAATTGGGTAATTATGTTGGTAACCATGGCCACACCAATATCCTCCCACGTGAAAGATAAAAATAGTATCTTCACTGCGCGCGGTGAAGATATGATTTTTTAGTAAAAGGAGAAATCCTGGTATTTCATCAGTATCTATATAATAAAAATGCATTCTAAAATGTTTTAAAGATGGAGCTGAACATTATAAGTGACTATCGATAGCTGATCCAATGTAAAAAAAAAAAAA